ATATATAATTAAATAATAACACTATCATTTTATAACAATAAATATATAGCAATATATTTATTATGATATATAATAAACAAATAACATTTTCAGCTACTCCTTCTGGTGTTTACTGACACCAGTTGGCGCCGCCAAAGAATTCCACCATTGTGAGAAGCATTGTCTGTGCTGCACGTTGATTTACATACGTCTGCTTTGAACTCTAATGCTAAAAACCACCAGATACCTTTTGAGCTATCAAACAAGCCTTCCAGCCTTAGGTTTGGCTGCTTAATTGGCTTCGTTTTGCAACTTAATTGCTTTAACTTTGCAGTGGAGCCCATAATAAACCAAACCCCGTGTCTGGGTCTTTGTACTGCAGCTAAAATGCTCTGTTAAGTGTTGACAGTGTTGGTTCATGTGCTGCCTTCAGAAATGCTGGGAATTTGGTCCTTCTGGCTGCACTAAAAATGACCTTTTTATTATAAACAGAATTTGCTATTTTGTGCAGTCATCTTTGCTGATGACTTCCCTTGGTAAGTAAGGAGTTCATGGAGGAAGAGCAGGTACTGTCACTGGGATTGGAAGGCTTCACCCTCACCTCTTGCTGCATTCCTGTTATTAAACAGAACCTTTAGAAATAATAAGGGTTTTCCTGAGGGCAGAAGAACACTTGATTTTTTTAAAAAAACGCTTCTATTTTTACTTCTTTTTGATTTTTAAATCTCTTTTCTGCTACTCAACTGCTTGTCAGGCTGGTGTAATCATCACTCCTATAATCTCTGCTATCCTTTTGTACCCCTTTTTATTTATGTGAGACAGATTATTCCTTCCTTAATCGAGGCAAACCCTTCTGAATGAGTTCTGCATCCACCTGCTTCTTCCCCCCTCTATTACCTGGACATATTTTAAGCATTGTTTGATATTTGGCCTAAAACAATGTCAGTCTGTTTAAAACCTCATCACACATCAGCTGTAGATCGATGTCCCTGTTTCCTGTACAGTATATCATGGAGCTGACATTCACCCAAGCTGCAAAAGGTGTTAACAAGGAGATCGTGGTGAACATCAACGACTCCTGCGAGCGATGCCACGGTAAAGGACACGAACCTGGTACCAAAGCGCAGCGCTGCCACTACTGCAACGGCACTGGCATGGTGAGTGCTTTGGAAGACACAGGTTCTGCTTTGCTTTCCCTTGTTGGGGCAAGTCAGTCCCTTCTGCAGTCAGAAATTCTCACTACAGTCACCAACTTATCTTGGGTGAAGCTGAGTTAATGTGGATTTGATGTTCATATGCACCGGGAAGATTTTCTTTGTATTAAAGTGCTCTGCCCAGCTAAAAGCACAAGCCCTGCAGGGATAGATCATCTGCTCTGGCACGCCCAGCAAACCCTATTTACATAATATAACAGTTCTGAAATTACTTGGGCATTAAATGGGATGCTTTGAATTGAGGGGTGGAGGGAGGAGGAAGGTGATGATAGCCTCAGGGTAAGTATGAAATAAGAAGATGCATCCTACTTACAGTAAGTAATGAACACCTCTGCTGTGAGGAGAGGCTGGGAGAGTTGGGGCTGTTCAGCCTGGAGAAGAGAAGCTCTGGGGAGACCTTATTGCAACCTTCCAGTACTTGGTGAGGTCCTGTAAGAAAGATGGAGACAGACTTTTTAGCAGGGCCTGTAGTGACAGGACAAGAGGAAATAGTTTTACACTGAAAGAGGGGGGATTTAGACTGGATATAAGGAAGAAATTTTTTACACTGAGGGTGGTGAAACCCTGTCCCAGGTTGCCCAGAGAGGTGGTAGAAGCCCCATCTCTGGAAACATTCAAGGTCAGGTTGGATGGGGCTCTGAACAACCTGATGTGGTTGAAGATGTCCCTGCTCACTGCAGGTGGTTGGTCTAGGTGGCCTTGAAAGGTCCCTTCCCACCCAAACCAGTCTGTGATTCTATTACTGAGCTTCAGGCTTTCAATTTCCACATATCAAAATGGGTACCAGCAACCAGTGTGTGACCAGAGTCCCCTTTCTGGGCAGAACTGGTGTAGTTGGTCAGAGGAGACTGCAAACTCTTCCCACCATTTCCTCACATGCTTCAATCCAAAGGGTGGCGTTCACAGTTCAGTCCATAGCTGAGTCTCCATAGCGTGGATTGGCCTTGGATTCCTCAGAATACAGATGTTGGCAGTTCTTTGTGAAACAGCACCATAAACAGCTTTGTTCCTAGAGATGGAAAGCCTTGTGTTTCCCTTCCCCTGACCATGAGATGATGCTCACAGTGGTGGTTTTCAGTGGGAATCGGAATGTGATGGCCATTGAATCTGATCCAGCTTCTCACAAGCCACATCCTCTTTGGATTTCTCAGCCAGTTTTCTGCTCCACCCCTCGCTAAAGGACATCGCTGTCCTGTCAGGTCACCTGTGCAATGAGAGGAACTTGGATGTGCTGAGCAGGTCGCTGGGAGTGTTTTGTGGAAGTGAAAAGCACCACCTCAGTACTGAATATTTGTACAACCTGTGTTTTCTTCACTAGGAGACGATAAACACCGGCCCTTTCGTGATGCGATCCACGTGCCGACGATGCGGCGGTCGCGGCTCCATCATAACAACACCGTGTGTGGTATGTCGAGGAACGGGGCAGACCAAACAGAAGAAGACAGTGATGGTTCCTGTGCCAGCTGGTTAGTGCTGTACTTGTGTGCTGCTCTCTCTTAATTAACTACAGTTATTTGCTTCCACTTGGCCAACAGCAAGGCACTTGCCTCCATAACATGGCTGGTCCCTGCCAGGTACTAGAGGGAGAGCAAGGCAAGAATTTTTGCTGCAGAGAATTTACCATGATCGATGGTTTGTCAGTTGCAAGGGTCAGTAATGAGATGAACTTTCTGGCCATGGATATAAATGTCTGTGTTGCCCTTTCTGAGCTGAGGTTTTGGTTCTTGCATGGATCCTTCCAGGCAGCTTTTGAAGAGTGAAACTCAAAAGGGTTTTTTTCCCTTTTCACAAGGGCAGTTAATGACAGAACAAGGGGTGATGGCTTGAAACTGGCAGAGGGGAGATGGAGATGAGATGTGAGGAAGAAATTCTTTGGTGTGAGGGTGGTGAGACAGTGTCCCAGGTTGGCCAGAGAAGCTGTGGCTGCTCCTCCCTGGAAGTGCTGAAGGCCAGGTTGGATGAGGCTTTGAGCAACCTGGTCTAGTGGAAGGTGTCCCTGCTGATGGCAGGGGGGTTGGAACTGGATGATCTTTAAGGTCCCTTCCCACCCAAACCAGTCTGGGATTCTATGAAAACGTTTTGTTACCTTGGCTCTTTTGTTTGTCCTTGATGAAGCTTGAGGGGAGGGTGGGAGTCTGAAAAGCTTGTTTCAGAGAAGAGTGCTGATGGCCTTCCTCACTGAAGAGGATGAAATGAGTGGTGAGGCTGAAGACTTGCTTCTTTCAGATCACCCTGGGTGAGCAGCCTGTAATTTTCCTGCAGCTTGTGCAGGCTGCCCAGTGCTCCTCTATCTGATGCATTTCCCTAAAGAATTCTGTCAGGGATCGAAGTAACGAGCCTGCTTGGCCTGCAGCCATCACCTCAGAGGTACAAACATGTGCCAGCACCTCCTTCCTCTGGCCTCGGCTCCTGTGGAGAGCGTCACTGTGCTGCCCACTGGTGCATCTTGTGCCTCGTGCTCCTGGATGTGCAGGTGCTGCTGTGGTGGCTGGATTTAAGGGATGGCAAGAGATCTGAAGAGAAAGGCTGTAGATATTCAAGTAACACGTGGGTTATAATGCAAGGTCCCATTCCCTCTTTATTTCTGATTGCAGGCGTGGAGGATGGGCAGACAGTTCGGATGCCGGTGGGGAAGAAGGAAATCTTCATTACGTTCCGGGTACGTCTCGATACATTGTTGGCTGTTTTCAGTATTAAGTTGGTTGCTTGTTCCCTTTGCCACTGCCTGGGAAGTCTGAGTGAATGGGGGATGGAGGAGGAAGAGTGAGTGATCCTTTGGAACAGCTGAGGTAACGTGATCCACGTGAACTTTGGGAGATAGCAGAAGATCTGCATTGTAACAAGCGGTGTAACGTGAAGTCTGCTCGTGAAGAATTGAGCTGCTTGTTCCAGGACGAGGCCCTGCTGGTAGCCTGCATCAAAATGCACAGGAGGTTCTTGATGCCTTGAGTCTTTGACTTGGAAAGGGGAAGGAGCTGTCTGCATGAGGTGGTGGGAGCGTGGGGGAGGGCTGTGGGGGGCTGGCTGGTCCAGTGTCCTCTTGCAGACGCACGTTAACTCCTGCTTTGCACGTGTTTTGTAGCCAGGGCCCTCGTCTCCTGTAGTTATCCTGAAATCCACATCTCTGTCAAGGAGGAAACTTTTTTCAGCACCTTTTTTGTGGTGCTAGAGGATTTAATTCTCTTCCAGCTTGTGAGGCCACTGCAGAGGTGCTTGTCTCTCCCTCTTCTGTTCAGGGTACTGGACAAGGCAGTGTCTCCTCTGTCTCTGCAGAATCACACTGCCACTGGTAAATTACCAAACAGGATTAGGGCAGGGAGTTGCTGAGCTAGGAAGCAGGCATCCTCCTGAGCCTCTGGGTAATCCTGGTTATGTCAAGATCTGTTTTTTTCTAAATGACTGAACATTCATTAACTTACACTTCTGAGCTGTGCAGTTTGTGGATGGTAACGGGTCTGACTCCAGCATTCTGATACATTTTCTTCTGAGAACCTTCAAAGCAGTTTACCATGAGGACTTTGTGGTGGTGTGCTCACTTCTCTGGAACTCTCTGCCTTTTAGGTTCAAAAAAGTTCTGTGTTCAGAAGAAACGGAGCAGATATCCATTCGGACCTCCTTATCTCTATAGCACAGGCTGTTCTGGGAGGCACAGCCAGATGTCAAGGCTTGTATGAGACAATCAATATCACAGTAAGTACCATTATGTGGAAGAGCTTGGGCATAAATCCACGTGGGACAGCAGAGACTTCTCCTTTGCTGCAAAAATGGTGCAAATCTCCTCAGTCTGCCAGCATGGTGTTTCCAACTGATTCAGAATTAAGTGTCAAGAAGTTTGTGACCTGCTTGGTCACTCCTCCTTCCCTGTCGCTGGATAAGGAAGGGCTGGGTGAAATGCTGGTCAGATCTCATCCAAGGTCTACAGACTGTGTGAGGTTCTTGACTTGTTCCTTCAAAAGCTTTTACATCATTACTCACTTAGCTTCTGAATATGTCCAGGTGCACGAACGTACCAGATCTCCCCATCCTACTTTGAAACTTGCTGGAGTAATTAATTATTGTAAGCATTTAGTGTAATTGCTATATAAATGGTTACACTAGAGTAATAAATGTGACCCCTGTGTTCATAGATACCCCCTGGTATTCAGCCAGACCAGAGAATTCGGATGAGTGGGAAAGGCATTCCCAAGGTTAACAGCTACGGCTACGGAGACCACTACATTCACATCAAGATTAAAGTTCCTCAGTAAGTAGAGCTAATGCAAGGGTTGGGTGAAATCTTGAACTTTTTGCAAAAAACAGAATCTTTCTTCAGAAATGATGTTGTGAAATTCCTTACTGATCCTTTAGCAGGGTCATTAATGTCTCACTCTGCTTTTAATTCTAATGGGAGGTAGCTCTGAAAATCCTAAACCCTGTAAACACCAAAGTAGTTCTTCACCTGTGTATTTGCCTGGCTGTCTGTGATTCCATCTGGATTCCAGTTACATAAACTCACTGTTCTGGCTTATAACAAATCTGTGCTCTCACACCTACAGCTTAAAGGACCTGAAATCCTTGGCAGGTCCTGCTTGGCCACCCTCTGCTCCTGTGCTGAAGGAAACTGTTTAGGTTGTATTGCTGCACTTGGCAAGGGAGTTAATTTCCTGAGATCTCCCTACCAGATGTGTGTTCTGTTGCAGCTCTGCACAGTTCTCAGCACTTAGGTTTTTTTCCCTGCAGTTTGGTGAAATGCACTTGGGTCATTCCTCTTCTCTTCCACTGAGGCTTTATTCTTTACAGACTGCTCACTTCAAGAGCGCTGTAGGGATTCGCAGCAGGTGCCACGTGTATTAATCTTCTTCTTCCAGTAGTTGCCTCTCCTGCCTGCTGCTGGAGAAGGTTATGGAGGGTTGTAGATACATCTGTCTCTAAAGACAGCAGTAACCACCACCTCTGTCTTGGACCTGCAGGCGGCTGACGGATCGCCAGAGAGCCTTAATGATGAGCTACGCCGAGGACGAGGCCGATGTGGACGGCACGGTGAACGGGGTCACAAACACAGCATCAGGTGAGTGGTGGGAATTACTGCTCTGCTTTCCTCCTGGAGCTGGTGTGGGAGTGCAGAGCGCTTCCTGGGGAGGAAGGTGAGCCAAGGTCACCTTGAGACAGCGTGTCAGCACAACCTGCCAAGCATGTTTTAATTGGAAATAGTTTTAGGATGATGTTAACAGGCTGCAGCACAAAGCGAGGAGGTAGCTTCTTCCCAGAAAGCTTTACTGAAATACTCACTGCACAAATCTGTGCACAAAGAGAGCGGGTATTGAGATACTCTGGGGTCCTGACAAGCTGTGCTGAGTCTCACGGTGGTGATGAATGTCTTCTGCTCCCTGCCTCTGCCCCTGGGCCAGGAGTAACTTGTCTTAGTAGCAGAGATAAAAAAAAGAGAAGGTGCTTCTTGCCAGTTTTTGGTGTGAGCTAATCCACTGTGCTCCTGCCCGCAGTGGGGACGTTTCTCCTGAGAAGCTGAAGGGCAGCACTGCTGTCGGGGCTGCTCCAAGCCCTGCTCTGTGCACAGGGAGGAACCTGGGGTAGGAATGTTCAGTGGTGGCTCCAGGCAGCAGACAGCATCCAGTGTGATGGAGGGAGTGAAGCCAGCTGGGAGCTTTGCAAAGCTGCTCTTTCAGCTCTAGATTAAAAATTTGGATCCAGCAATTACGTGTTTTAAGTTTCAGTGGTGAGGTAGCTGGCAGCAAGAGCAGCTGAAGAAAAAACATGTGGTAGGACAGGAAGGCAAAAGCTTTGTCTTGTGCTATTGGGAAACCATTTTTTCTTTGCTTGTATTGGAACAGCAAACTTCAAGCTGGTGAGATTGTGATTTCTTTCTGTGTTTGAAACAAAAAAAGGGCATTTATGACTGCAGACAGGTAGGCAAAGGGGAGAGTCTTTCCAAGCTGCTAAATGATCCCAAGAACTTGGGTCCTCTGTACTATACCTGCCAAATATAGGCTGAAGTTCAGGATACTGGAAGGCAGGATCTGCCAAATACTTCCCAGTGTTACATTTTATAGTGCTTCCATAACACAGAAGTTTTCCACTGAGGGTGACCATGAAAGGTCAGCCTTGGGGAGAAGGGGAGAGATCTCTAAGCACAAAACTTTCATCCCAGCTTTTTAAAGACATTTATGTGCCAAAGGAAAAAAATATTCTCCAAACATCATTTTTTCAATAGCAAACCTGCCAGTTTTTACCACAGTTATGCAGCAAGATGGATTAAAACCAGCACCAGTAGCTTGCAGGGTCAAGACAGGCTGTTGCTGACAGGGTGTCCTTGCTCTAGGAAGCAGAAATACCCTGAGTGGATGGAGGCAAGTTGTGCCAGGGCCTCAGTGTTTCCTGCCATTGCATCAGTCTGAGCTGGGCAGGCAGCTGGGGGAGGATGGGGAGCACGGGACTTTGTGTTCTCTGTGTGCAGAGAAAGCTCGAGGGGGATGCAGGGATCTTGTTCTTGATGGTTTTACTGTAGAAAAAGCAGATTAGCAAAGAGGTCTCCTTTGTTCTTGCTGTAGCCACTTCTAGGAAACAAACAACTTCTTGGGACCTGTTTATACGGGAAAATTATGCTTGTTGCTGCCAGAAAGATTCCTGATCCGGACACTTGTTATGAAACACTTGTAGCCTTTTGCATTCTAGCCTGAGTTTATTTTCTCCTTGGTACTGTTTGTCTGAGCATTGCATCAGAATTACACGAGGCAGGCTCCTGCTGTGGTTTCAGACTGCTCTGCTCTAAGGGGTCATGACACCACCACGAAACAGGAAGACTGATGGTTCCAGGGTTCACCAAGACACCTTTTTTTTTCCCTCTGTAAAATCATGGCTGGCTGTGGCTGGCTGACATCTTGTTTTTAGTGGCACACTCTCAATTCCAAGCTCTTGTTTTCAAAGCCTGTGGGGTCCCTGGCTTGATTGTGCAGCATGAGAATTCCCTTGCCAGTTGGAGCACGGGGGAAAGGGAATGGAGTTACCTGGGCTCATGATCTTCTCTTCCACTTCTGGGGTTCAGGCTCTGCAGTGCTTTCATGGCAAGTGGTCCAGTACCATGGCTTGCTGTACGTGATGATGCTGGCAAAACCAGCTGCCTTGACCATTCCCCATCTAAAAGAACCCTCTCACTTGGTCAGGGGTGCTGGCTACTGGTGGGGGATGTCTCTGACTGCAGCCCTTTGCTGTTTGTGTCCAGGTGGCAGGGCCACGGCTAGCGCTGACGCAGGCGGGGATAGGCCTGAGGCTGAGGAGAACAAGGAGGGATTCCTTTCCAAACTTAAGAAAATGTTTAGCTCCTGACACCCCATCCGAGGTAGGAGGCCTCTTGTGTTTTGTTGTCATTTCCCCCCCCCACACACACACCAAGTGGAATTTGCACTTCTGGGGAGGTAGAAGCAGCAAAAGCACAGCATTGCTTCTCACTTAGCCTCAGGCCTTCCAGCCACTGCTGTGAAAAGCCCTAGCTGTCCCCTGCGACCTGGAGCAAAAAGCCAGGGACTACATTGCATTGTAGCTGCTGCCAAAACACTGGGGAGGTTGTTGGCCTCCCCTGCAGCTCTGCTTCCTTATCCACCCAGTGACTGTACATGATTCAGAGCACCAAGGGCTTTCCTGTTAGCTGGTAAAGCTGCGACCAGGCAGTTCTGCCACTGCAGAGCCCAGGCTGGTGGGCTTGCAGAGCCTCTGGTGCCGGTACACTCAGGCTGGACTCACCCTTACCACGAGCTTACAGCTCCAGGAAGGAATCAGTCTGTTGTAAAGCACAGCAAAGCCCTGTCACACAAACGAGCACAGTGTGATACCTCAGGGTGCCATTTAGTGGGTGTTGGCTGGCTGTGAAGGAGCGCTGTGTGCTTCTCATCAGCTACAGCAGGACCTGGTGTCTTGAGTTCCAGGGGCTCAGCTTCTTGTCACCACAGGCTGCAAACCCGTCTGTTGTGTGAGGCTGACAAAGGGCGAGGGCAGCGAGGGGCTCTCAGCCCTGTGCTGGCAGAGGGGGCTGCAGCGAGGGGCTCTCAGCCCTGTGCTGGCTGAGGGGGCTGCAGCGAGGGGCTCTCAGCCCTGTGCTGGCAGAGGGGGCTGCAGCGAGGGGCTGCATGGGCCTTAGGCCGATTCCATCAGGAAACCTCCAACTTCCCTCTTGCTTCAACCTCAGGGAAGCGTTCTACTGGAAACTAAGAGCCAGCCACAGCAGATCGGCTTTGGAGTTGGGGATGAATCTTTCTGGCAGCAGGAGAGCTGGAGAGTGAAGGATGTCAGGCAGCAGCACAGAGAGGATCCCAGCTGGAGAGGCTACAAACCACCGAGGCACCAACAATCATGGGGATACCAAACCCCCCCACTGTCCTAGGAAATGGAGGAAATGCCAGCTTTGTGGAAATGCAGCTCTCTCGTGAGGTTATTCCATGGTCCCCACTGCTGCTGGAAGCTGATTTGGTAAAAATTAAAGCTGAACTATTATTTAGAATCCAAACCAGTGGAAATGAGAAATAAAAAATTGTCCTTCCAGCCCAGAGTGGAGCAGTTTGCTGTGTGGAGTTCCCCAGATGGCTGCTGTTCGCTCAGGTGCCCTCCTGAATGCTCCATGTGCTTGGTGAACTTCTCACCACTTATCTTCTCCCAGGAGACTTGGTGGGTCAGTGAATTTTAACCCTGTCATCACCACAGCCCTCCTAGCTGTCCTGCACATCTCTGAGTGGGAAGTCTCCCCAGGATTTCTTAGTCCTGCTGATTTCCTGCACAAAGAGCAGTGATGGAATCTGCACTTTGCCTCAGGTTTCCCTCCCCAGATTAACTCAAATTACAACACAAAACGCCGTCGCTTCTGAGTGGGGACAAGTTTATCATCGAGCCCTTTGCCAGTTTGGGACAAAAATCTTTTATTACATTAGTGCAACACCCATAGCATAAATGATTGGTCAAAGAGTCATTGTTCCTACGTGTGTGAGAAGGCAAGTGAAGTGGATCACTCCTCCCGGGGGAGTGGAGCTCCTGCAGTGAGTATGTTCATGGTTATGTAGCCGGCTGTTGTTAGTTCTACTGTGCAGGTACCATCAGCCCACCTACTAATCGACCAGTGAAGCAAGGACACGGCCTAGTCTTGCCCTTCTTCAGTTGCTGAAATAAAGCACGTGTTGCCTCCTGATTAAACTGTCTGTAAAGTGATTCTGTATCCATGTAAATAAGATTGACTTCATAAAGATATTTAACACGTGCTGTGCCTCACTGCCTTGTCTACTCTTCCAGCCTTGGCTGTCAGCCCCTTGCCCTCCCCCGGTAACAGGAACGAAGGGTTTTCTCTTGGACAAGGAGAGGGGAGGGCTGGGTGGCTTGAGCATCTCTCTGCTGGCTGTGATTGACTTTAAGCCCAGGCACAGACTGCCAAATCCCAGAGCTCTTATCTGAGCAGATGGTGCTGTGGGGGAAGGAGGTTTTTTTTTTTTAAGTGAGTCTTAAATCCTGAGGTTGGGACAGTCTTACAAAGGTTTTACTCAACTCATGACAGGGGCAGCAATTGAAATGAGCTCCAGGAGAGCAAAGGCCAGGCCCCAGCTGAGAGCTGTCTGACAAGGAACGGGGCTCAGCTTTCACATCACACAGCACAGGCGTGCTGGTCGCCCGCTCCCTGGCCAAACCCCGGTGTTTCCTCTTTGCAGCAGTGCTGTCTGTGGGTACCTGCAGTGGCTGCAGAGAAGGCACTGCCCTTCAGAGAGCTGTGCTGCATGCTCAGAGCTGCCTAGGAAGGAGGGTGATCCTGGGAAAAGAAGCCACCACCACCCTACAGCTGTGAAAACACCAGAATCACTAAACAAACACCTCCCTAAAGACACTGTGCCAAGGCAGCGCTTCCCTCACCTGCAGCTGTACAGCCTTTGGAGCTGTACTGGTCTCCACAGCCTCAGCCAAGCGGCAGGTGAGCCCTGGAGCACACGCATGGCCCAGAGCTCTTCCCAGCTCTGGCAGGGTCAGCCTTTCCCCCAGGGCGCTTGCGGAAAGGCAGCGTGGCTCAGCACAGCTCACCTCCTTGGCCAGGTCCCGCTGCAGAAGCTTGGGTGGCAGAGGAAGGAGGGCAGGGTCAGAAGGCAGCCTTGTTGTCTGCCACCCACTGAGGGAAGGTGCGAGCCTTGGGGTTGAGTTTCATGGTCAGCTCCACGTTGCGGTCTGGCTTTAGGGCGTAGAAACGGAACAGGGCAGCCATTTCCTTGGCCCCAGGGGAGCCGCCTCGCTCGTACTCCTCTGGTGAGAGCTGCAAAAAGAATTGGGGGAGTGGGGAAAATAGTGTTGTTAGAGGCTGCTGGGGCATTTCCCTCAGCCCACGCAGGGAAGCTGAAGAAGGCTGTGATAGAGCAGCCCACTGTGTTATTTCCACTGGTGAGGAGGGCTCTGCTGCTCTGCAAGCCACTGCGGTTGGGGCTGTGGGAAGGAAGCAGCAGCCCTGCAGCGTGAGGGCAAGGTGGAGGAAGGTGGAGAAAAGGCTTTGCCAGAGCACACCAGTGGCAGGTGGGATGACACAGACCCCTGCCCCACGGTCAGCGCTGACCCAGGAGCTCGTCCCCGTCCACCCTTCCTCCAGGCACAGCGTGAGAAGGGGTCAAGGTGGCAGTGGTGGGGACATCATCCTGTGAATGGTGGGGACATCACACTGCACAGATGCTGAGGAGCTTGTTCTGGATCTGTCCTGAGCCAGGACAGGACTGTCCCCCCAAAGCCACAGTGACTGGCAGGGCAGTGCCACCGAGCACCCCACAGCCCTGCCTGGCAGGGAACAGCCCAACCAAAAAGGGCCAGCACCCAGCTCGGGCACACGGCTGGCCGGGGCATGGGCTGGGGTACACAACCCGCCTTGGCAGCAGCAGAGGCCTGGAGCAGCTGTGAGGGACCCTTTTGGGTACAAGCTGTGGCTGAGGGGACCAGAAACAGAGGCTTGGAGGGTCCAGGGGGGCTCTGGAGAGCCCAGGCAACCCAGGCTGCTACCTGGCACCCAGCACTTGCCTTCCCTGCCCGAATCAAAGGGTGGATCCCTGAGCTCCTGCACTGCTGCCCTGGGAAGGAAGAAGAGAGCTGCTTATTTGTCCCTGGGAGAGCAGAACCTGCAGAGAGCAGCTGAGCTGCTTCGTTTCTGCTGAGACACACTCTGTTCCCAAAGCAGACCGAGCCACCT